AATGTGTAGACTTCTCTCTATTATGTGTAGACTTGCAAAGGACAGAACCGTAAAATAACTGTCTGTTTTTTTGTTTGGTCACAAGGGTCAAGTAGTAACTTCAAAACCCCTTTAGGTTGGTTTTGCATTTGACTCAATAAGGGGTACACCTTTAGGGTTGAAATGAAATTTTAGGTTGGTTTTGGCAAATCCCCCAAAACAAAAACCAAAAGCTGAAAACCAAAAATAGAAAGCTAAAATCAAAAACCAAAAACAAAAATCTAAAACCAAAATCTAAAAACTAAAAACTAAAACTAAAAACTAGTGCAAACAATCATCACCTATAAATTAGTTGAATTTTGAAAAACTAGTTTCCCTAAAATTTAGGGAATCCATTTTTAAAAAATCTTGATTGGCAAATCAAATGGTTTTTACAAAAATAAAAACTAAAAACCAAAACTTGATTGGATAAAAAATGGTTTTTACAAAAACAAAAACCAAAAACTAAAGCAAAAACCAGAAACAATATGCCAGTCGAAACCATAACACTTATAACTGAATGCATGTATACAAATCCCAAATTAATTGCTTGTTTTCAATGGAGAGAAAAATTTGTCCATATTTTCCGCTAAAGATTATAAAGCTTTTTTTCTTCTTTTTGGACAACTAATATTATAAAGCTTAAAAGCATTTTTTTTTAAATGAATTGCTTTTAGGGCACTATATAACTGATATCTCACAAAAAACCACTATATAACTAGGATAAATACAATGTTAAATATAGAACATAAACTAATTTAAATGCTTTTATGTAGCCACAATGAATGTTTACAATCCAATGATAAGCTTTTTCACATCACATTATATCTTAAGTATCATATATAAATATAGGTATAAGTTTACATTATAATTTTACAACCCAATTCCACACTATATATGTGTTACTAACTGTGGATAACATAACATCAATCCATAAATAGATGCAAATCGTATGCTTTTTTAAGGGCATTTTTTTCTAAATAACCAAAAAAAAAAGATAAATTAGATTTTGGGAGAAGAGTAGAGAGAGATAGAACGAGAAACTAAGAGCATGCACATTGAGGTTTTATAGGGGGGGGATCACACGCTTCCCTAAAAAAAAAATATTAAAATAATAGAAAACTTGTGAACCTGAGTCACAAAAGTTGTCTGCCGTGAACCGGTTCATTGCAGTTTTCGTGGGCCCCACGCCACGTGGCGGCCCACGATTGGCCCATTAATTTTTTTTTTTTAGAGAAACAAACAGAAAAAAGTAAAAAAAAATAATAAAAAAATATTTTCTGTGAACCCCATCGTCGGTTTACGAATGTGGGTGCTCTAAGAGAGAGGGGGTATTTTGGTTAGATTTTTAATTTTGTTTTTTTTGTTACTACTTGGCCTAATTTCCCTTTTTTAAACATAACATTAATTCATTAAAAACATATATATGATCTCTCTCAAACAAATCGTATGTTTTGTTTACCTATCATTCATTTTAAAAATATATCAGCTGAAAAGTATTAATTTATTTTATAGGCGTCATATCAACCGTCAATAGCTTTACTTACAATGCATACAATGATCCATTAGGTGTACATACATATATATATATATATATATATATATATATATATATATATATACATGTATATGTTTCAACCTATATTTATACAGGGGCGAGCTAAACACTTCTACCAAACACAGTCACAAAGATCAAGAGAAAAAAAAAATGGGAGAGATCAAAAGCGGCGAGAAAACGCGCGTTTTGGTGGTGGGAGCGACGGGTTACCTAGGGAAGAGAATCGTGAGGGCGTGTTTGGCTGAAGGTCACGAAACTTACGTTTTGCAGCGGCCAGAGATTGGTCTCGACATCGAGAAAGTCCAACTCCTTTTCTCATTCAAAAAACTCGGCGCTCGTCTCGTCGAAGCTTCTTTCTCCGACCACCAAAGCCTCGTATCGGCCGTGAAACTCGTAGATGTGGTTGTCTCCGCCATGTCAGGCGTTCACTTCCGTAGCCATAACATCCTTGTCCAGCTCAAGCTCGTTGAAGCCATCAAAGAGGCTGGTAATGTCAAGGTATGAAAGCAAAGGTTAAGATTGGTTGGTTGAGAAAAAGTAAAAAAAAAAACTGCTGATAAGTTTGTTGTTTTTAACTTTTACGTTTCCTTAAAGTAAAGGACCCCTATAACATGCATATATAGATAACTTAACATAATATTTCAAACAAATCAAAAGTTTTATAATTTGATAAAACATTTCCTTAAAGTACTTTGGATGGGTATCTATAATATTTTTCAAAATAATTAATAAGATTAATTATTTCAGAGGTTTTTACCATCTGAGTTTGGTATGGATCCACCACGTATGGGACATGCGTTACCACCAGGAAGAGAAACGTTCGACCAAAAAATGGAAGTGCGTCATGCTATTGAAGCTGCCGGAATACCTTACACTTATGTTGTTGGCGCTTGCTTTGCTGCATATTTTGCCGGAAACTTATCTCAGATGGAAACTTTACTCCCTCCAAAGAAAAAAGCTAATATATATGGAGATGGAAACGTAAAAGGTAAAAATCATTACTCCTCCAAAGAAAAACTTTACTCTTCTAAGTGTGGTTATTATTTAGTTGTTAGATTTGAACGATAAACCTCGTAAAGAAAGCAGTTAATCTTTAATGGTGTTATCTTCGTAGTGGTATTCGCTGATGAAGACGATATCGCAAGATACACCGCAAAAACAATGGACGATCCACGAACAGTGAACAAAACCGTGTATATCAGACCTCAGGACAACATTCTCACGCAAAATGAATTGATTAAGATTTGGGAAAAGCTAACCAAAAATGAACTGGAAAAAACCAATATTGCTGCAAGGGACTTCCTTGCCAACATTGAACGTAAGTCCAATCATACTATAACATAGTATATAACTATATATCATTTTCAGCTAGGCATGCTTACAGGCCCGTCTCATTTGTATCTAGGACCCTTTGCTGATCAAAATATTTTTTGAATTCTGCTATGTAGAAATATCTATTAAAAATTTTGGGTCCTATTTTGTAGTATTTTCTAAATATTTGGGCCCCAAATTCTGAAGAAAATTGAAGAAATTAAAGATGGGCCCTGTGCTTTTGCACTGTGGGCACCCCCTCAAAACCGGGCCTGTATGCTTAATCGACTAGACTTCATGTTCATTTAAAACATAAAGCCCATTAAATGTTAATTGATTTTGTTATAAAAATGTAGATCTGGAGATTCCACATCAAGCAGGGATAGGACATTTTTATCATATCTTCTATGAAGGATGTCTCGCTGATCACGAAGTCGGAGAAGATGAAGAAGCGTCAAGTCTCTATCCGGATGTCAAGTACAAGCGTATGGATGATTATTTAAGAATGTTCCTCTGATTACAATTTGGTCAAAATCATATCTATGATAAATATGCATATATAAGTTTGAAGTTTTCATATTCATGTACTTTCGTGTTACTCAAAGTTGAATGTACTCATTATGCAACAAATATATATGATCTCTTCTTTGCTTAACATACCAGAACTACAACAAAAATTAATCACGTCCAAACAACAAAATGATTAAAACTGAATATAAATAAGTGAGGAACATCTTTTTCTACAAGAATGAGATGAATTAGAAAAGGGAGAAATATAGATTTCAGTACTATAAGGCAAGCGATTAATAAAATCCGTATGTAAAGCCCACTAAGAACAAGTTTAACGGGGATATCTAAAAGGGATATCATATTCAAAAGAAAAAAAAGAGATATGTTAAGAACAGTTCTCATTAGCAAACTTATCATATATAGAAGTTCTTTAATAAAAAAAAAATCATTAACAACTGCATCAAAATATTAGCTTAAAGTTTTGAAGAAAAAATAAGTTATATCATTAAAATAATAACTTTTTTTCTTTCTCTAAGAACAATTTCTACCAATAAAGTTGTTATAATAACTATATATATATGAGACTTGAAAAAGAAAAATGGGTGGCTGACTCCTCTAAAGGCACCAAACGGCCACCAGTAAAGATTCCACAGGGAGATACTGCTGCTCTAATTGGGGAACACAAGCTAACTCTTACAGGTAGGATGACTAATCTAGCGATACAAAAAACCAGAGTTTAGTGGATTTCGTTCTCCAACATTGTCAGGTCAAGGGTAATATCACTGGTAGAGATTTGGGCCCAAACTTGTTTCAGTTTAAATTCGACACTGAACAAGACCTTATTTCAATCCTCTCTGATCCTCCATACCATTTTAAGAGATGGATGTTGATTCTTCAAAGGTGGGAACCCATAGTCTCTGACTACTTTCCAGCGCTGATCCCGTTCTGGATTACTATACATGGAATCCCGTTACACTACTGGACAGATGTAGCACTTGAAGCAATTGGTAACGAGCTGGGACCAGTTGAAGACTTTGAAGTGGAACGAGGAAGGATCAGAGTGCTTATTAACGGGCTGAAACCGTTAGAGATGTTCTTAGACATCATTCTCCCCTCTGGGGAAATCAAGCAAGTCGAGCTGGAATATGAGAACCTTCAAAAGCATTTCTTTGCTTGTCACTCTCTCTCACATGAAAAAGAAAATTTCCCAACTCTTAGAGCTCAAGCCAATAAAACCTCCTCAGCTCCTATAAGAATGGGTATATCACAAACCAGAACTCTGGACAGACTCGATGCCAGACTCCTAGCAAGACCTGCAAATAAAAGTCAATCAAGATATGGAAACAATGAGAGCTCAAAGTTTGAACAAAGTAACTCATCTCGATCGATTGACTGGAACCGGGAAAGGAACTTCAGATTTGACTATGGGGCAAGAAGAGATCTGAATTACAACAAGAGAGAGATTCTAACTTCAGAGAGGAGTAACCCTGCTCGCACTTCTGTTAAAGCGAGACTCTCCTACTCTTGAGATAACTCCTCAGCATCCCATAAAGACTCTCAATCTCGACAAACACCCCAAGCTCAAAGAACAGAGTGGAGACCAGTTGCTAGTGGATCTCAGAGAGAAAACCCTTCGAAGTCTCTCCACTCTATTGTCTCCCACACTCCCTCCCCAAGAACGCAAAGGGAAGGGGGATCACTGAACCGAACGTCTACTCTAGAGTCCAGACGGAAGTCAGGGAATGGAAGCGCCACATCACAGGAGCGAAGGTCGGCTCTTGAACACCTCTCTCTCCCTGAAGGTCGTATTCCCCTGCTACAAGATGGGGTGGCAAATGCAGAGTCAGGAAGACTCCAAAAAGTGGATATCCAACTGATAGACGAGATCATATCTCCAAACTTCCCAGGAGGGAGTAACATTCTTTCTGGATCAAGGAACCCGACTCCTACGGTAGAGGAACATTATGATCCAAACCAGACCAGATCCCCTATAAGGTCTCTTAGTGAAGATAGACTTCATGTTTCACTGAGACTGGGACCACTTCTTCCGCATTCAGAGGAAGATTTGCCGAATCAAGTAAAGAGGAAAAGCTCCAAACCTCCTACCTCTACGGGTGCTTGACTTCCTCAGGAAAAGAAGAGAACCGTGAGAAGATCAACTCAAAGCTCCCAAGGGATAAGTGTAAAGAGAAGGAGAACAACAAAGAATTAGTACTCCCCAAGAAGGAGAGAAACTACTGAAAAGAAGAAAAACACTTCAGGTGCATCTGCATCAACAGGAGCCCAAATACTCTGATCCTGGCTTTGAGGAAGAATGGAACGGATTTTTGGTCCGGTCCAGCTCCTCTTCCTTAGTTAATCTGAGCTGGAACTGTCAGGGAATGGGGAGCGACCTGACAGTTCGTCGACTCCGAGAGTTTTGCTCAAAGAGCTCTCCGGATATTATGTTCCTAATGGAGACAAAGCAAAAAGATGAAGAAGTTTACAAGATGTACAAGGGCTCTGATTTTAAAAATCACTTCACAGTACCTCCTGAGGGACTTAGTGGTGGTCTAGTTCTATCATGGAAAGACAGTGTCCAACTGGAAATCTTGTATTCTTCAGCAAATGTTATTGATACAAAAATTGTCTTCAATAAAAAATCCTTCTATGTGTCTTACATTTACGGTGCACCAAACAAAGAAGATAGACCCCGCTTCTGGGAAGTTATGTCGGACATAGGAGCGCAAAGAACCTCCCCATGGTTACTGTGAGGGGTAAAACTCACTTTCTAATTGAGGTTAGGTTAGGATTGGGGAGAAGATAATCGTGGGCTGAATCCCTTAAGAACTTAGAGAATGAATACGTTGTTTATATTGATGTTTGGTAATAAAAGAGTTTACAAAGAAGATCCTTGATCTGAATACAGAGAATAATGGAGAACGAATAAGAATCAAGTGTATTGGAGNGTTTTGTCAGGTCCCTACGAAAGAATCCAGACCTGTTCTCCGTGACCTCTTTCTCGTGACCTCTTTCTCGAGATCAGCTCCCTTCCTTAGGTGAGCTGTATTCTTCTTCGTGGTATTAACCCATATCCGGCCCATTATTGGGCTTGGTTTAACTAATTCGCTAACTTCAGCTGACGGGCCATATTTGGGCCCAACAGTTGCCCCCAGCTTTCGAGATAAGATGCTTTTCTCGGGAGCTAAACCTAGCCGCCGAATCTTTTAATTTTGTTAAGATAATGATCGCTCGTGATCTTCCCTCGAGCATATCTCTTGCTTGATCCGACGGTTGTGATTAAATCTAACGAAATCGACGGTTTAGTTTAAAAGAATATTTGAAATAATTATTCCCCGATTCTCGAGGCCTCGATGGGATATAAAGCTGCTCGCATTAACTTCAACTTCCCCACTCTCTCCACATCGCGATTCGGTTTCCTCAGGTAACTTCCTCTTGTCCCTTCTTTTTATTTAACTTCTTTACAGGTTTCTTTTTTTTTTGTTTATTTCGGTTTGACTAAATCTTCGAGTTTCCTCCCCCGAACTTGTTATCTCCGAAGGTTTAGATTTACTTTGCTTGATCTTTCCTTTTCTCTCTTTACTTTCCCTCATCGTTTTCGATATGACCCGACCAAAGGAAGGTTCCGGAGAAACAGGAATCTCCGCTTCGGGTGCTCGGCTTATGAAAGTGAAACAAGAAGTCGGCGAATCCATGAAAAGAACCGAGAGGAAGAAGAAGGCTAAAGATTCGATAGCCCAAAGAGTCTCCAAACGGACAAAGAGGACCGGAGGTTCAAGTGGGGTCGTACCTTCCGGGTCTCATCTGCCCTCTGTTTTGAGGAGCCAAGAGATCGTGAACCTTATGGTTCAAGCTCAGGGTCAGAAGGAATTGGCCAGAGCTTGTAAGCCTGAAGAAACCCCCGAGATGGCCCCGGAGGGTTGGTTTTGTGTTCATGAGAACTACATTTCCAAGAGCCACCTTAGGTTTCCCCTTCCTGACCTGCTGTTAGATCTCTTGGATCATTATCGACTAGCCCTTTCCCAGCTTTGTCCCTCCGTCATTCGAGTGATAAACGGTTTTATCACCAGGTCCAAGGAGGAGGGAGTTGCTACCGGGTTGAGCTCTTTAATGAGCCTATTCTCAATAAAGGAGAGTGCCTCTAAAGAGGGTGGTAGCGGGACTTACTACCTCGCCAGTCGTCCCAGGCTGGGTATTTTCAAATTTTCCAGTAGTGATGATGACTGGAGAAGGAAGTACTTCTATGTCAAGATCGATCCTTTGACGGTCCCGGCGGGTCGTACACTTAGGGCTTCATGGTCTGACGCGTCCGGTTAGGATCTGTTAGGAATGAGTTCGTTGATTTCTCATTGGTTATAGTCTGATGAATGTTTGTTTGTTTTTGCAGATATTGAAGATCCTGCTGAGCTCCCAAACAAGCTTACTAGAGCTCTTTTCCGAAAGCTGCATCAGACTCCCTGCACTTGGGCGTCGTACACCACTTCGCGAATTGGATCGGCCAGGTTTCCGGACCGTTACCACGCTTCCTTCTTAGATCCCGTACCAGTTACAGATTTAGAAGGTAATACGTTTGTTCTTATGTCTTTGACATATACTAGTTTGTTTTGGGATTGCTGATCGCTAAAGTGAATTTGGTAATGCAGTCTCTGAAGGTAATTCCGTAGTATCGATTTCAACGGAAGCTAGCACCTCAGGAACAGAGAAAACCAAATCAGAGAAGATGCCTCTCCAACCGTCATTCCGAGCTAGGGGTAGGCCTTCGAAAGCTGCCAGTACTTCGCGAGGAAGCGAGAAGAATCANCTCCAACCGTCATTCCGAGCTAGGGGTAGGCCTTCGAAAGCTGCCAGTACTTCGCGAGGAAGCGAGAAGAATCAAGGAGGCTCCTTCCTTAGCTCTGTAAAGGAGGTCCTTGATGATGGGGTATCAGCTAAGGATGCTGATGTCATGGAGACGGAGGTAGCTCAGGAGGTGGTTCCCCGTTCTACAGCTCAGGTCACGGGAGTCGAGACTCTGGTGGCTAAGGAACCTCCCGAGACTGAGCCTCATAGGAGCAAGAGGTCGCGTGCCGATCAAAGTGACAGACCTTCCAGGTCCTCCTCCTCTTCTTCGAGGGGTGGGACCGTCGGTTGGAATTTCGCTCACTCGAAGCCTGGATCGATTCTCGATGACCCCTGGGGTTTGGCGACTTTAATGAGGCATATGAAGCAGACAGGATGCTCCCTCCCTCCAGTGAGCAGTCTCACTAACAGGGATGAGTTCATCGATATCGCTCATTATATGGGTCAGGTAAGAGTCTTTAGTCTCTTATTATCGCTTTTGATAGATATTTATTTGGCTGTTTATCTTTTGGTAGCTGGCTGGAGCTATCAACAAGGCTCAGCTAAAGTTCGAGGAGGCAGTGAGTAACGCGCCTAATGCTGAAGAGTTAGCCCAGGTCACTGAGATGGTTAAAACTACCAAGGTTGAGCGAGATCAAGCCAGAGCTCAGGTCTCGAGACTCCAATCCGAAGTTGGGAGGCTCGGTTTGAAGTCTGATACTCAGCAAGGGAAAATCGAGAGCATGGAGATCGATATCAGAGTGAAGAGTAGGAAAATTTCTGAGTTAGAGAGTGCTCGTAAAATCGCGGAGCAGCATGTCCAGGATTTGATCGTATCGGCTCAGGTTAGCCAGAGGAACAAAGAGGCTGAGGTCAAGCTTGCTGTTAGGAGTGGGAAGAAAGAAGTCATCGATGCTTACAACAAGATCCTAACCTCTGTCAAGGAGAAGTTCTCCAAGAAGAAAGATGAGGTTGACCTCCAAATTTATGCTCAAGAGCTTCAAGCTAATACGGAGCTCCTGAAGGACTTGCTATCGAACGAGATTCAGAACGCTGAGGAGGAGTATGATCGTTTGAAGTCTTTGATGCCCGAGGCTATTGCGGCTTACGAGAAAGCTCAGGTCTCCGACTTCTCAATCAGCAAGCTTCCTCTTCCTCAGCTTTCGGAGAGCTCAGGTACTTTTGAGGTTAACACGTTCAATTCATCCTTTCATGGAGAATATGGTTCTAACTTAGGTTCGATGGGTTACTATTTAGCTCCGGCTGGTGTGGTCCCAGAAAGGAATGTTGGTGAGATGGATGAGGATGCCCCGGTTAAGGACAGCGAGGCAATGGAAGAAGACCGTGAAGTTCAGAAGGCTTCTGAAGGTGGAGGTCAGGAGAACTGATGACTTGATCTCCTTTAAAAGTATTCCCATGTTCTTAGGACGTCTGCCCTACGGGCCTTTTATTTATGTTGTCTCTTTTCTGAACTTATAGCATGAGGAGGCCTTTAAACCTTTGCGATGTTAGGATTTCTTTTGAACCGCATATTGCCTGAGGAGGCTTTTAAACCTTATCTCGTTCCTTGGTTTTAATCCCTCAATCGTTTAATTTGCTAGATTTCGAGTTCCTTAGTTGGATCTTGAGAGATTCCCCCTTTTTGAAAGGTCCGAACTGTTTAAGTAAACTTTGTGTCTATTGGGACCAACTTATTTTGGATTTGGATTCCTTTGAATGCTTTCGAGTCTCAGAAACTTCGTTAGGATTTCTGAGTTTTTAGGTTCAGATTGGTCGTGCCCTGACCTTTTTTGAGGATCTTAGACTTCATGTGATGACCTGAATTTAGGTTCGGATCTGTTGCGATCCGTTTTCAGGTGGTAGGATCTAGGTTCAGCGCGATCCGGATTCGGATAGCAGGTTTTGTAATACACCAAGTTAAGGTCCAGCGTGACCTAGTATCGAGCAATCGGAGTTCGGGTTCAGTGCGACCTGACTTTAGATTGCAGGATTCTAAGACTTCGAGTTCAGGTACAGCGCGACCTGATATTAGACAGTAGGATTTTAAG